TCGAATTCAAAAGGAATCCCCCCGTACATTTTTTTCTTTAAAAAAAAAAAAAAAAGGACTTCTACCACCAGCATCCACATGGTTACTAAACACGAACCTTGTATTTTGTTCCTCCCTCATCATTCTTCCTATCCCTCCCATCTCCCATAAATTATACAAGGTTAGAAATTTGAAGTTGAAAGAGGGGCTGATAAAATAACTTAACAGCAGTTTTATTTCAGTCCTCATTCACTCTTTGAGAAAGAGATGCTGTAGTTTCAAAGCCAGAGTCATTGCTGAACGGTAATTACATAGCTTATAGAAGACGACCATGCTTCGATAGTTTCAATAGGCAAGTTTATTGATGGTCAAAGCGCTCAAGTAAGAGGCAGATACCTTTTTGTCACAGTATTACCACTTTTGGAACATGTACTCTCACTGTTTCTTTTCAGATGCAAAAAAGCTCCACACAATCACTTTTTTTTCTTCCATTTCAATGCAGGAAATTACCAGGTATGCACATTTTCTCTCAAGCAAGGTTTTCACTCATATGCAAATTTTTTATGGAACATAATAGACAATTATTTCTATGAAGTACACACTTAAAGCTAAATATCACACAAATTTCATTCATCAAATATAATTATTGCTAGAACTCTGGTGTCTGTTTTTAACAGCTTTTTAAGCTAAAAGTACATTTCTGTTCAGAATTCAGAGAGCATGCTCAACCAGAAATAAAAGATCACATTTTATATGCAAAGCCAACACCAGTCAAAGCCAGTCTCTCACATAGCCATAACAGGGAACTTTTTTACCTGTGAAAACAGTACCATAATACTACTTATGCTTGATGCAGAGCAGAATAAGCTATGAACAGCTGCCAAAAATGCTCAGTCATTAAATGGATTTGCTAAAAGTAAGCATGTTTTCTGAACTGGCCAGCACCAAGATTTAGCCATGTAGGAGCAATCTTTCCTCAAAAACCTGAGGCTGACGGTGTCTGATATAATGAACCTATTTCTCGGGAATGTTTTTAAGCGCTTATGAATTGGAAGCCTTTGGGTGTTTTTACAGCTACTATTTTGAAGGTAAACTTTGCAAAAACAATTTAGGCATCTCTGTGCATAAAACCATAAAAAAGTAAAATCTGGGGGGGGGGGAAGGGATAAAGTCAAAAACAAACATGAGCGCCATAGGCCCTTTTTTTTTAAATAAAATATATAGTATGTTTGCAGAAAACACTCAAATGTGTGTTCTCTGACACCTCATTATTGTACAAAGAAGCCTGGGAGATGCTCCATTCTCCATAAGGGGTGAACACTGTTGCCTATGTCACTAAGCAGAGCCACCAACATATTGCAATGGAATTCTTTCTGCTAAAGCCAAAGCAGGGATAGTCGGAGCATAAATCAGCCGGGACAATGTTCTTGCTCACCTAACTGTTCCTCCTGAAACAAACTAGCAGTTTTCACTTTCAATACCTATTTACATATCTTAAACTGAAACTAATCAGCTACGCTGCATGAGTAGATGAACCACAAAACTATTCAAGAGCAGCATTAGTTTAATATGGGAAATTTTCCTCTTTTCCACTCTATAAACATTACTGTAGCAATTTTCAGAGGGAAGCATGGTGGGGAAACAGCCACCTCTGCATTGGGTCATTATGTACAACTAATCGCTCTCTTGAGGAAATTTCTTTCTGCCCTTAATTCACAGAGCCATTAACTCTTACGAAACGCCAACCATGGGAGTCATTATTACTATTCTAAATCAGAAATATGCAAAATATAATGAATAATTCTATTTTCTTAGCTGTTACAAACAAATATGGTCTTATTTTTCAATCACATGAAAGGACATGTGAAGTTCTAATTTCATTTCAAGCATCACCACAATATTATCTCACCTTCTCACTAGTTCAATAGTCCTATCAACCATACGTATGCTGCAAGAGCAATCTGAATACCATAGTATCAAGAACGTTAAACATTTAAAAGTTTATTTTTCGTAGGGGACGTCAAGGACAAGAAGAAACACTTCTTCAAAAACATCATTAACAAAAGGAAGACTAAGGAAAACGTGGGTCCAGTACTGAATGGGGCAGGGAGCCTGGTGAAAAAGGATACAGAGAAGGCAGAGTTGTTGAATGCCTTCTCTGCTTTAGTCTTTACTGCTAAGCCTAGCTCTCAGGAATCCCTGACCCTGGTGACAAGAGAGGGAGTCTGCAGAAAGGAAAATTTTCCCTTGGTCAAGGAGGATCCAGTTAGGGATTGCTTAGGCAAACTTGACACCCACAAGTCCGTGGGCCCCGATGGGATGCACCCACAACTGCTGAGGGAGGTGGTGGACGTCATTGCTAGGCCACTCTCCATCATCTTTGAAAGGTCCTGGAGATCAGGAGAGGTGCCTGAGGCCTGGAAGAAAGCCAATGTCACCCCCGTCTTCCAAAAGGGCAAGAAAGAGGAGCCAGGAAACTACAGGCCTGTCAGCCTCACCTCCATCCCTGGAAAGGTGATGGAACAGCTCCTCCTGGAGGTCATCACTAAGCATCTGGAGGACAAGAAGGTGATCAGGAGTAGTCAGCACGGATTCCCCAAAGGGAAATCATGCTTGACCAACCTGATAGCCTTCTATGACGGAATGACTGGCTGGGTAGATGAGGGCAGAGCAGTGGATGTTGTCTTTCTGGACTTCAGCAAGGCTTTTGACACTGTCTCCCATCACATCCTCCTAGGTAAGCTCAGGAAGTGTGGGCTAGACGAG